TAAAAATTGGCATAGATTGTTTACTTGGATGTTAAATTTTGATATCGCCTCTAGATAGTCGCGACGTGAATAGGAACGACCGTTAATAAAATACTCTGACTTATCGTTTTTGTCAAAGGTGCGTGTGAAGTCCACCGATTTTTCATCACAAAGGCTTCCCTTATTCTTTCGCTCGTCGCAAACTTCTACAGATATTTTAGCCGATGAACAACCATTTTTAACATAATCCCTGATAAAATTTGAACGCGCCAGCAATTTGGGCTCACCACCCAAACACAAAACTATCGCTGATACAAGTGTGGATTTACCTGAGCCATTGGGGCCAATGATAACGTTTAAATATTCTGATGGTGTGAAGATGCATTCTGAGTATGTCACGAAATCTTTGCAATATACACTTTTTATTTTTCCAAAATTGGACATTTTCGCAAAACTAATTTTTAAAAGGATGAAGTAATTGAGCTTTATAATAATAAAACACTAAACATACGCCGATATTTTACTCGCTGCCAACGTTGCCAACCCTGTCAACCGCTTTTACTGTCATAATAAAACTTCTAACAGAAAGAAAATAACAAAAAAAGGGTGATTTATGACAGTTTCAAATAAATATTGATAAAACTAAATATCGCAATTAAATGAAATTGTTGTCATATTGAAACCGATGAAAGCTGTATATGAGAATAAAATTGATAGTTATAGAACATGGGAAATTTTGTATAAAACCAAATACGAGTCGATAGAAGTAAAATGCTAGACTAAAGTTAAAGAAATATTATTTGTGTACGAGTAGAGAAATGTGGCGATCACTGTCGCTATTACTTCCAATAATTTTCCAAAAAGAAAAGAAACCGTAAATGTTAAGGGCAAATATGGAATGTCTCTGTAAGGATAGCGTATATGGTAGTGCGATTTAAAACAACAAAATAAAAATAATAAAAAACCAATCAAACAAGCGTTATAATACAGTTCCAAAGTGCTATTGCTATGGAGGGCGTCATCATATGGAAATCTAGAAGATTTGGCCGAAGTAGCTTTGCTAGTTTGCCAGGAGGAAGGAAATCGGTGTCCACAGCAAGTAAGATATGTAAGACATTAGTTCAAGAAGTGCAAAAAAAAAAAAGACATGAAGTAGGTATGTACGTTTCGCGAAGATGAGTTACAAGTGTGAGTGTGCGCAGGAATGTAAAAAAAGTGCAATGACCTGACGGACCAACAGGGTCAAACTAAGGGCCAAAAGAACGGTGCTAACGGACCACACTGTTTAGACAAGACATGCCGTTAGTTATTTATCAATTCTTTTCTTTCCTTTCTTTTGTAAGTGTAACTGAGCTAGTCAGTTATAATAAGCATAAAACCTCAAAAAAAAGAGGAAAAATTAAAATTTAATTACTTGTAACTTTGTGTGGCCATAGTCGATTTTGTCCACATTTGCGCAAAGTAGATTTTTTCGTAAAGTAAATGTGACAAATTTCGGCCTTCTATCTATTCTAATTGTTGAGTAATGAACAAAAACTCTTAAATTTTTATTCAGAAAAGCGTCGTACCAACTTGCGTGCAAAAACTTGAAGGTTTTTCCGAGGTTCAAGTCGATATCTTCAATTTTGTGACCAGGAGAGTACCAACAGCAAACACCACACCATACATATAGATGGACATACATGGTTTACCCACTTTCGAATTTCACGCTGATCAAGAACATGATCAAGAACAAGAGTCTTTGCAGATTCCTTTTGGGTATTACAACCATTATGAAAAACAAACAAAAAAACTATACTCGCATCCTTGAGTGGTGGCTATGAAACGCATTTCATTTGATATTATCGAGCTATTCAGAAAATTCAAAATTGCATTTTGGACATTCATTATATTTGTTGCTTACGGCCAAAGTCCATTAAATACTTATAGAGACTTATAATATCCCAATAGTCGGTTTTGGTCAAAATGGTGATTTTGATGTTAACTGCGAAAAACGGCCTGGACTACCAAAAAAGTTCGAGGAAAGCGAATTGCAAGACTTATTCGACGAAAATCCAGCTTCAACTCACAAAGAACTTTCGAACAACTTATCAGTTGAATCGTCTGTTTTTAGACGTTTACTTGCGATCCAAAAGAGAAAAAATGGCTACCATATGAATTGACTGCAAATGCCATATCGAGGCGTGTCAACATCTTGATTTCGTTGCCTGCCAGGGAAGTAAGGAAGAGTTTCCTGTGGTGTATTGTGATTGACGATGAAAAGTGGATCTACTACGACAATTCGAAGCGCAAAGGGTGTTTGGCTAGTTCAGGAGAGCCATCCGAAGCGGAATATTAATAGCCGTAGTCCTGTGCGTATGGCGGCATCAGTAAGGTATAATTTATTACGAACTGCTAAAACCGAAAGAAACTGTTATTGCAGATGTCTGCAACTGACGTCAATTGAGTAAGCTGAACCAAATAAAAAACCAGCAATAGGTAGGTTAACACCTACCAAATCATCGCCTTGAATGCCGCGGTTTGCTAAAGAAATGTAAAAATAGGTTAATAATTTAATCGCTGCCAAACCAATGACGTTCTTTCGATACGATATCGCCATGTTGCCAGAAAGATAGGAAAAAATTGTTGAAAATGATGGAAAACATTCCGATTAATATATAGTGCACCAAGTTTTCTTAATAATTGCTTTTCTCTAAAGAAAGACGTATTAATTTTAGAAAATAGGGCGCCGTTTCATAAACTTTCATAACATTAAACCCTATTGTTTTTATTTACTTATTTATTATTATTATTTTTTATTTAACTACGCCAATACAAAATAAATTAATCATATAATGTGAAGAAAAATTATTACAAATAAAAAATAAAATATTTTTACTAAATTAAGGCTAACAAGCAAAGTTACACTCACGACTTAAGTAGCCAGAATTAGATGTTAAACCAAATAAATAATCGAAATGAACAATGCATTCTTTGCAAGCATACGAAATAATAGAACGAGACTCATGTAGGTGTATTAAAATCAAGCCTACTAAGCGAGACTGTTGACGAAATATCACCCTTACTAAGTTTCAGCAAAAATCCTATTCGAAGAACCAAGCTTCAGCGCTCAAGAGTAGGAAAATGGATCAAAAGTAACACTGTTCGTAGGGAGGTAATGTTCTATTAGTTTCACATCGCCGTCCTCTCAAGCCAAACAACAGAAATTATTTCTGGATACTTTCAACCATATCAATGTAATAATTTTAACTGGAACACCAAATGGCAGATGTATATTCAAATGACAGCTTTACCAAAGCCGTGTAGAAATCTTTTGTAACATCCTTTGACCACCTTCAATGAACCCAAATGCATATGTCGCTTTGCGTGCAACCAAGACGACATTCACTCCAAGGGCTCACCATCTAACTTATACTCAAAATTGATATTGATAGTGGACACTCTGCTGAACGATAAGGAATTATATTTTTTGTACTCAACGACATCCCATTTACCTTACACCATTCCGACAGTAAAAATAACTCTGATTCAAAGAGACGGAAACTTTCTGAGCTTGGTGAGGAGAGAGACAGCTTAACATTATCAGCATACATTAGTACTCTCGAGTAGTTAAGCAAATCATTATTAATAAACAAAAGAGCAGTGGGCCTAGATGGTTCTCTGCTGGACTACAGATTTCATCAACATGCTCAAACAGGTACGACCTAATTAAAGCTTCTTAGGTACGATCCATAAGATAAGAACGAAACCAATTAACCAGGCGGTGACTAATTTTATTAAATGCTTTACTAAGTATAAATAATATCCGTGTGACACCCATTCTTGAATGAGTCAAAGACGTGACAAGAAAATTCTAAGAGATTCGTAACCGTAGATTTGCCGTTGACCAAGCCATGTGGGCAAGGTGAAAGAACTGGTTTAATACTCTTAATCAATCTCTTCGAAACAAGTTTCTTCAATAAATTAGGTAAAACGGAAAATTTCGCCATACCTCTGTAATAATGAATTGACCGTCTACTACTCGACTTATGCAGCTGTAAAACATAACTG